CCCATTCAGACAAATATAAAGTCATTGCTGAGAGTAAAACTAATCTTGCAGGCTGCTATTAGTAGACCTTTAAATTACATGCTTATTAAAGGATTGCTGGCATTTATAGAAATGCCAGCAAATACAAACCTGACATAGTAAAGGCTGTGAACCTCTATAATGTGAAAGACACAATCAATAAACTATTATTCCAGGGATATAGACTAGTGTGGCATAACTCCACTCGTTCGATGTTTGTTAAACCTGTATCTGAGACACAGTAAAGCTGCATCTGCGACAATTGCTTGAAGAGCAATTCAAGTGACTGTACTAAAAGTAAAGTAAAATTGCAGCTAACTTCCTGATTAAAAAGGGTAGGAGCAAAAATCTGAAATTCTAAGGCATCCATTTTACTGCTTACTTTGACTTCCTTGAACTTCATTTGGGTATTACAAAAGATATTAGTGGAATTAGAAGATGAACCAGGAATTTTACACTAGTACAAATCTGACTTTCACAGTCTCTTTCCTGTGGCTTTCTTCCTCCTATCCTCATTAGCTGAGCATGCTAGGTTTCAGTTTCTTAGGCTGAATATCTTCCTATTTTTATATTTGCAGATTGAGGAAGCTCTTGTACGGAGAAAGAAGATGGAGCTTCTTCAGAAATATGCTAGTGAAACTCTTATGGCCCAGAGTGAAGAAGCAAAAAGACTTCTAGGGTTGTAAGACTGCATCAGTATGTCCTGGTTTTTAGATAATCCATCCAACAGGTTCACATATGCTGGTAGCAGGTTCAAATATTCTGGTAGCAATCACATGTAACTCTGAAGGTCCCTGTGGGCGTTACGAGTAAGATGTGATCAAGTGATAGTGTATTGTTTAAAAGGGGTGGGGGGAGACCAAGCCTAGGTTAATTTGGTCTCTAAGTTTCCAGTAACTGTCTTCAATACTTCCCCTTTGTGAAAGTCTGTTCAGTGGTGGTACTTATGGGTAGAACAGCAAAAGCAGTAACTTCTTAAAACCTGAGGGAAATCCGCTGTTACTGCTATTCTGAGAGTCTCCTGCGTCCTGACTGTAAGTGTACGCAAGTTTATCTTTTTGATTACCCTCTAGATCAGGTCACCAAAGCTTATTCTGTTACACCAGATCTGCTTACCAGAATAGCTTAGAACCTGTTTAGAGATAGATTGGCAGATCTCATGAATGACTTCAAAGTTGATTTGGTTCTTTATCTAACAGTGCATTTTTTTAATGCAATATGTCTAAAAGCTGTTGCCCTCTTATCGTTTGTAACCGTGCCTGGTTGGATTGCTCAAGTGCTGAATATTTCAGCAGCTATTGTAAATACTTTCACCTTTGTAATGCCTTGTTAAAATATGTTTAGTAAACCTTTAATATAAATCGATGTTCTGTTTCATTCCAGCTCAAAGAAAAAAAATTCCCTAATTGTACCCAAAGAATGAGATCCTAAATAGGCATCTGTGTTGGGGTTTGAACGTTGGCATCCCCGATTGCTCTCAGCTTGTGTATCATGAGACAAGGAGCTACATCTCCAGCTACAGCAAAGAGCCTATTTAAGGTCCTAAGGTTGACTTTGTTATACAGATATGAATGAAATTGGAAATCAGCAGCCAAGGAGCAGAAGCACTATCTAAAGAATACAGTATTTAACAACTAAGTAGCCACATCTGGGGCTAATGTTTCTCGATGCTCTTAATATTCAGCTCTCTTGTAAATAATCTGTTCTAGAACTGTCAAAGCTCTAAATTACCGTGACAAGCTTTGTCTTGTTAAATGTGAATGATTATCCAAAAATGCCTTGAGGAAGTAGGAAACATGGCTGCCAAATTTGAGTTTTTAAAAAAAAAAAAAAAAAAAAAGCACCAGAATGAGCCCCAAACTGAAGCACCGAAAGCAAGCAGACAATGAATATTACCAACACTAGTATTACAAACTTTCACTTTATGAACTTTTGACTTTGTAATCAAGTAGCAAACTAATGTTTTAAATGTGCTCTGAGCTGCACGTATTTTTCCTAAGTTGTTTCCAGTTTTTGCTTCTGTCCCTTGATTGTTTTCTTTTCTTGCATTTATGGAAGGTGATACGCTTTCTTATGTTGTTTGTACTCCCGTTAAAGACAATACTGTTTCTCTGAACCTCTTTGGCCACCAAGAATGAAGGAATAGACTCCTTTCTTGTTGGATATGCTAAAGAATTCAAATGCTGACAGGCTTATGGACCAGCAGCACTCAAACAGCTTTCCAAAAAGGAATTTAGAGTTAAAAGCTCTGTTGTAAACAGACCCTTGCCAGTCATGCTTCTACTAGACTGTATGGTTATTTGGTTTTGTTCAGTATAAGAACTATTTTTGTCTAGTGGGAGAGTGCTTGGAACAAAGATGACAGTTTTGCTGTACACAAACTCCATACTGCTGATAACCAAGTTGGATTAAAACCAAAAAAAAATAGTGTTTTTAGGGCCTGCTTCAGTTTAGGGGTTTGATAGCTGTGTGTGACCTCTTCTGTCACTGTACATCACTAATAACATAGATGAAATTAGAGAAAACAGAAGGGCAGAGTCAGATTAGGGAGAAAGTGTTAATGAGAACAAGAAAAGGCATAAAAGTATATACAGATTAATAGAGTTGGAAAGAATGAAAGAAAATCAAGATAAGATACTAATTCCATGCCATGTTCAAAGAAGTAACTTGCAGACCTGGGCAAGAGCAATATATTGAGATAAACGGAGAAGTCTTAAAAGCAAATGCTGACTTCCGCTGGCAGACACAGAAGTGGAATAAATGTATTAAAAAGGCAGTATGGAATTGTGATGTGCAGGTGGTGGATACTGCTTGTATACTTGCTCTGCAGCTCTGCGCACCTGCTAAGGCTTTTTAAGCTGAGTGATCTCTTTAGCTGCATCTGAGCCAACAAACTGCAGGGTAATTGCTTGTCAGCGGTGGCTCGCAGCGTGCCGCCTAGTCTCTGCTGGCTTTACAGGCTGGTATGTTGCCAGTGAGGTTGGGGCTGTGATGCTGCTGTAGCCAAAGCCACAGGTTTGGTCTTGTGGTTTGTCCTAGGGAATGAAATGGTGCATGAGCCTCTGCAGTGATTTCTCTTAGGTGTGCAGCTATACTTGGAGATCTGCGTGCTGTAGGGCGCGTGGCTTGTGCTACTTGTATCTTGCCTGAGGTTGCTTTCGGTGTGCCTAGGTTATAGTAATAATTTTACCCTTGCTTATGCATATGCCGGCTTCAGAGTTCTGCCACACGCAGTCCTGTCCCGCGGTTTGAGGGGACAGCCTCAGCCTTGTTCTCACTGTCCTGCCCTTTGCTTTTGCCTCCCATCGCCTTTTGCTTGCTTCTGCGTTTTAGAAACGCGTCTTCGCCTTTGTTCCGTTTAACGCCAGCCGACGAGGCGGCGCGCGCGGAGAGAAGCC